TTGGGGATTCCCAACAACGATGTGCCCTAGGAGGCACAGAGTCCTTGCTGGGGATCCCAACGTACGACGTGCCCCATGCACAGGGTTTAGTAATGCATGTAGCGGTACTAAAGCGAGCACCCTTCTTTCGAGACCCCCCCCCTCTCGCTCCTCTCCACCCCAAAGTCATACATACGTGTTTTTTATATGAACACGTCCCAGCCTCTGCAGCGGAAACGACTATATTTACTAGAATACTTACCATTAGGAACGATCATCTTGAAAGTAGCGATTAAATGTCTATATTCACAGGAACAAGCCAGAAATTTTTGGGTTCATCCCAACTTAACCTAATTTTTGATTATTTTCACAGTTTGGTTTAAATTTGAAATTCAGTCCCATTAATAAGATCCTGAACCTACTTTTGTTATTTCTTTTTCAAACTCCGTATATTTATCGTATATACAGATAGAAGTGGTAGACCGTCGTGGTGGCAAACGAATTCCGCGTGGATGGGGAGCTGACGCCGACGGTATTGAAACCCAGGATCCGAAAGAAGTGCTCAACGGCGGAGGGCTACAACCATTGGGTGGAGCAGAAACCTCAGGTAAGTGGTTGAAGTCGCAGGCCATGTTGGTCTTATGGTCGGAGACATTCAACCATTGTGTGTCCCTCATTGGAGAGTTCTTGCATCTGATATTCAGAGAAGAAGGACGCCAATGAGGGAAGCGCAATTGTTTTGAGTCACTAGCCATTTCTCCGCCCATCAATTATCCTGTAAGGATTTTCAGGTGGTTATAAAGGCACTGGCCTCTGTATGATGGTAGAAGTTCTGTGCGGTATCATGTCTGGATCATCCTTTGGAAAATCGATCCGAAAATGGCAGACCACTGACGAGACAGCCAATTTGGTAAGGAAGGACTCTGTATTCCAAATATTTCCCATCATCGTCTACATCGTCTAAAATTACCGTATATGCAGGGGCAATGCTTTGTTGCGATCGATCCGGAATGCTTTGCTCCAGGATTCTGCGATCGACTCAGTTGTTTCCTGGATGAGACGAGGGACTTGAAGCCGGTATGTATTACAATTTGTGCAGATCACTTCCTTTCAAACGGACATTCCGCGATAAACAGATAGGCGGAGAACTGCGCAGACGCTCATAGTCATTGCGCTTTTTTTATTGCTGCGCCCATCCGAAGAAGGGATGGACGCCAATGAGGAAAGCTTGGTGGTTGTGAGTCCACGCGATAAGCGCGGGATGTACCTACAATGAGCAAAATCAATTTTGAGATCGATCCTTCTTACCCCGTGCAAGTAGCTGGTGATCCTGAGCGAGCTCATATGTGCATGTGCGACGAACTCGATGGAATCGTCTACAAGAAAAGCCAACTCGAACATCTAGTAAGTTAGCTCCAATTTTTTCTAGCAGAGTCACAGTACACGTCCACGGGATGGGCGGAGAAATGGGCGGGAACTGGTGACTGATGTGCCTCATTGGAGCGCCCCTTCTATCTCTATAAAGAGGAGAGCCGTACCAATGAGGAATACAGAATGGGCAACATTCCCCGCCCATCCTATTGCCGCTAAATTCGGGTTTTATAGTATATTGAGCATATCGTGGGCAATTAAGTCCTTGAACTCACTAAATGGAGAAAATGGTGCTAATTACTACAAGGATACAAAGTCATGGGTAAACGGACCCCAGACAAGACTCAAACGCTCTTCTTCCGCGTGTGCTATCCATTACGCGACTGGCTTGTACCCAGCTCTTACTCAGCTGCAAGTCTATGGCACAAGAGCCATTTAGTGGGTGGTGAGAGGATAAGAGCTGCTCTGGTTACATAATGGACACCGCGCTCGCCCAGTCAACGGGAGAGGCGGATTTGAGTCCCACCCGGGGTCTGACTTTGCGCACAACTCAGCATTGTATCAGGCGGCGACAGAGTGCAGCTCGGCCACGCCCATTCTCTGTTCGTCTTCACCTTTACCGCCCCCAATCTATCTTTTTCGAACATCGTCCCGGTAGCCCGGATCCCAGATGAACAGGTAATGATTTCAGGGCAGGAAATGAGGAATTGCTTTCCCTTGTCCGCATTAAACTAGGTTGAAAATTTCGACTGAAGAATCATCTCTTCTCCAGGAGAAGCTAGCCAACGATCTCGGAGTGCAAATGTTCAAAGCGAAGAAAATATGCTCATCCCTAGAGGTCGACAGTCAGGGCAGAATTGCATTGGAAGCCTGAAAGAATTCATCTGCATGACCGGTTTTCCAGTAAATATAACCAAAAATCAAAGCAATATATGTTGTCATCAAGATGTTCGGTTCGTTAATAAGTCATTGTTGTCGTTTTTATCCATTGTTAATGTCCAGTTCTAGAATGAAATAAACGAAAACCATGCCTACTCGTGCAGAACAGCAATCATGAAAAACACATGAAAATGTCTCGAACTTTTTTCTGAAGAAATACAAATTCCGAAATTGACAGTACGCTTTGTCGCGTGAGCGGAGATAGCCAATCATTATTCATACTCGTTTCCTCCCTTACACTTTTTTTTATTGCGCTCTTCCTTTTCACTGTCTCCACAGGGTGTCAAACGCAATAGCTGACTGTCTCCGCCCATTTCACTGCCCATATGATCAGCGTGCACTCCGCCTTAGAGTCAGAACCTTGGCATAAAATATTTTCATGTACACAACACATCTGTCAGTATTCACGAGCAGGCAGATCCAGAGAAGGAGCCATTTTTGTGAGCACACTACTCCGATCTCCGCTATCCTGCACCCATATAATTTACCCCATAAGCCAGCGTGGACTGGCAAGCACAAACGGGATGAGCCCTTGAAAACTTGTTGGCAGCAGTGTTGAAAAACAGAAGTGCACAGAAGCAGCGGAAACCGCAACGCTCCAAATAAAGCGTGCGAAAAAGACAGGATTTGCTAAGATTTTATACTAAAAACCAGATACGGGAAGCGAGAGATCAACAAAGCATTCATCGAAGTGGGCGGGGTTACTTGTGAGGGGAGGCGCCACTCGAGCAACCTTACGCTTGAACGACTTACCTGACATTACTCTGATAGAAACTCGTACGAGGTTATCCATTGTAGTCCACACTACATTCTCTGACAAACAACTTCGATTCTTATGAGCAATCGCAAAAATGTGCGTTGAAATTCCCTGGTGCCCTCATTTCCTCAAGTTTAGGGATCTTTCAGTTTCTGCTGCGTGATCATTCAACTAGAACATTTTCCGTTATCTCTTGTTGAGCAACTTGATCAGCCTGCTGTGTGGGCAGCATGCCAGGTCTACTCATCTAGATCAATTTTCTTAGTACAGTTCGGCCGAGGGGGGGGGGGCATTTTTCTAGTCTTCATCTATCACTGCCGATGCCTGCTGGCAAGACTCCTGCACTATCAGGAGTTTCCTTCACATTTAACAAAAGACTTAGGCAGCGTTCATACTTCGCGACAGCAGCGATCGCGGCGACCTCAGCCATTGTCGGTACGTGGCAGAACGCCCTCCAACGCTACCATGGACTGCTCTCTT